GTGGATGTTGTAAAGCAGGATTTGAGAACAGCAAGCAGGGGAGAGGTGGGAAGTTGACACTAGGAGGTGGGAAGGCATCACAGAGTGCAGGAGGAGCATGGCATGGGTCAGGGTGCTGTGTCCCCAGCCCGCCAGCACCGAGGCTGAGCTGGAAGCAGGAGGATTGCAGGGCACTGACGCAGATGTTCTCCTCGTTCCCACTAGTTATCCCTGCACCCTGCGCCAGTATTTGAGGGACAACAGTCCGGATGCTCGTCTCTCCACCATGATGATTTTACAGCTGTTGGAAGGCGTGGACCATCTTGTTCGCCACGGGATAGCGCACAGAGACCTCAAGTCTGACAACATCCTGGTGGAACTCGATTCAGGTAGGCAGAGCGCCGGGTCTGGGCGATGGTGAAGTCAGAGGCAGAAGTGGTGCCAGCGGAGGCACTCAGGGAAGTCCCAACCCAGGTGTGCCTTTAGGGATAAAAGGAGCATCAGAGCTTTTCAGGGATCTCCAGGTTGCTCATTAGTTTTGCTCTTTCTGTCACTGCAGCAGCGTGGATGTCATTTATCACGTGTGTGCCTCAGGTTTTGGGTCATTAAAACAGATTTTAATGGGCCGTGGTGCTGTAATCAGAGGGAGAGGTGCACCAAGCCCTCATTGCATGAGCAAAGCAATGTTGGCTTGGCACAGAGACATTCACTACCACCACATTCATGGGGGTGGAGGTGCCTTGGCTGCAGGTTCTTGGCTCTGTCTTTCCTTACTAGCAGAACACCGCAGAGTGCTTCTAAAAACCCCACCTTGCAATCAGGTCGGTGGCGCTGCACCCTGTGCTGATTAAATGTCGGTTGGAAGGAAGGAGGACTGGCAGTGTGAAAGCCAAAAGCAGCATTTTCATCATCTTGTCCAGTTCAACCAAGATTTTAATTACCTGAGCTCTTTTTCAGCATGACTGAGATTCATATGGGCAGGAAACAATAGCAGGCAGCCAGACCTTTGTAATTAAAGGTCTTGGTAGAGCAGTACTGGAAGATTTTCAGCGATACTAATGCCTTCTTTCTCTTCTTGAAGGAAAAGCTTCTCTGGAGCTCTGAATGTGGTTAGGAATGATTTAAAGCATTGATTTTTCCATACCAGAGTCTGGAGAAGTAATGATTCTACTTTGCAATGTTTGATTTGTCACTGGGACAAGAATTGTTGACCGATGCAAAAAGCTGATAACTAAGCCCCAGCCTTTTTTGCTAGAGTTAAGTGTGTGTCTTTGTCTATGGCTTTTGCTATAGGTAAGAACAAAAGTGGAAAAATGAAAAGATTCCTCTGTCATTTATCAGTTAATTTTACATGCCCTTGTTACGACACCTGCAATGCTTTGTCAGGCACACGCTCCGTGGAGAGAAATGAAGCCCTCTGACGGGGAAATGGAAGAACACGTTTTACTTCAATAAAGCCAATTTTTCTCCTAATAATATAGAGAAGAAGCAGGAGAACAGCGTGTGGTCATGCTGAACCACACACTAACCCTGCTGCCCTCTGTCCTTTGCAGCTGGCTGCCCCTGGCTGGTGATCACAGACTTTGGTTGCTGCCTGGCAGACGACAGCGTCGGCCTGAGGCTGCCTTTCACCAGCTCGTACGTGGATCGGGGTGGCAACGGCTGTCTTATGGCACCCGAGGTAAGTCCTCCTGCAGTAACTTGGGGTCGCTGGCTGCGGGATTCTGCTGCTGGGGGTAAAAGTTTCAGCAGCAGGCTGTGGAGGCTGTGATCAGAGCATGGAAAAGGGTGGGGTTAGGTCTAGGAGTGAATAGTGGAGGGGCTGCGTGCACAGCACTTTGCTGCTATTTGTGCCTGAACTTCCCCTCTATGCACATGCCAACAAATTAAAATTCTTCCGTGGTCTTTTGTGATCTGAAATCCACTGCAATCAAGTCAGGGATTTTGTAGCTGTTTGTGCTGACTGACTCACCTGTCCGTGCAGTGCGTTACCTCTAGCGTGTTGCTGTGGCAGTGTTCTCATCCCTCTCTCCCCTTGGAGAGCCGTGACTGTAAAGCAGCACGTTCTACCTTGAGCTGCTGTTGTTAAACACCTGGGCGTTAACAAAACGCATCCTGCTCGGCCCCGTGCTGAGCATTTGTTGGCAAAATCATCCACATCTCCTGCCTCTTAAATCCCAAATGAAACATCCCTAGGGCCCTGGTGTGAATGTTAGTCAGAGGTAACAGCTAAAGCCAGGATGCAATGGCCAAAAATCTCCCCAATGTCCTGGCGGGCTGAGCAGTGCTGAAGGCCCGGAGCATGCCCTTAGGAAATATTTATTCAGAGCTCTTTATTCTGGCTTCCCCATCTCTGGGGATTTCTCACGCAGGTGATCACAGCATCGCCAGGTCCAGGCACGGTGATCAACTACAGCAAAGCTGACGCCTGGGCTGTGGGAGCAATCGCCTACGAAATCCTCGGCCTGGCAAATCCTTTCTATGGCCACGGGGACTCGACCCTGGAAAGCAGAAGTTACCGTGAGGATCAGCTGCCGAGCCTGCCCGATCGCGTGCCCCTGGAGGTGAAGCAAGTGGTAAAGCTGCTGCTTCAGAGGGATCCCAACAAGGTGAGGAGCTCTTTTACCTGGATGGAAGACCAAGTGCAGGTTTCTGCAGGCAGTTCCCTGAATAGTTGCAGGGATTTCTGCAGATGTTTGCATCAGTGACTGGACCTTGAATTGGGGTTTACATGCAGCTGGCTGGTGATAATGTTAACAAAGGGCTTTTTTGTTCACGGGACCATGCAGTGCCTCGGAGGAGGTACTTCTGGCACAGTAAATGTGACATGGTTTGTCCTGAGTGCAGCTGGATGAGCTAATTCTCCCTCTCACTCCTTTTACAGAGACTGTCTGCTAGAGTTGCTGCTAACGTGCTTCACTTAAGCCTCTGGGGTGAAAGTGTTCTAGCACCCAAGACCCTGAAACCCGATCAGATGGTTGCCTGGCTTCTGTGCCAGTCCGCGGCCACTTTGCTCCTGGACGGACTGGTGGATAAAAGCCGGGTGGAAACCAAAATGAAGATGTGCTTCTTCGCAAACCTCGACTACGAAGACCTCTGGGCAGCAATTTTCTTGTTGCTGGCCTTGAGAAACCAGGCTGGGTGAGGAGTACAACACGGGGCGTGACCGCGCAGGAGATAAATGGCACTTTCTAAAAGCACATAGGAATTTGTCTTCTCTGTCTGCGCGGAATCCTGTAGTACTTCAGGGGGAAAATCTGCAGGCCTGTGTTAAGGAGGTCGAGTGTTATCTGTAGTGCACTAGTACGCTGCTAGGGGCTGTGTCTTTGCCTCGTTACTCCTCCAGTGAGGGTTTGCAGAACGTGCAGGTGTCCTGGGGTAAGTGGATGGTTTTGCTTCCATTTGGGAACTCACAGTTGACTTGGAAGTCACAAGCTGAGTGAAGCGAGCTGTGTGGAAGGAGGTAAGGTGTAGCTGCTCTTCACACGGAAGCGTCACGGATTTAAACAACACGTGAAGAAAGCTGAACTGACAAAAGGACATAGGAAAACCTTCCTTCTCTTAGGGAAATTCTTGTGAGCCTTGCTTCTCTTCAGATCATGCTCCTCTGCAGCCACAGACACCTCTTGCTATATTTATAGTCGTATCTATAACATAATGGCAGCCTCAAAGCCTCCTGCAGAGGTGCTGAGCAGTGCAGTTTAACAAGTCTCTTGTGATGCTGGTCTGTTTGACATGCTCGTTTTTTCTGATGAACAAGGAACTAACACCCTTTGATTGGGGAGCACAGAGACCCCAGCGCTGGGACACTAACGGTCGTGTTAATGAGAACATCCTTTGAGTTCGTGTCTGTAACGGTGTTCAGAGGAACTGGGGGAGGATGTTGTTGATGCTGGTTGCACAATAAACGGGTGATTAAGCTCTGATGCTGAGTGGATTCTCTAGATCTCATCTGTCTCTGTTCACCAGATCCAGATCTTGGACTGGAGGCTTGTGAGGCAGGCAGTGGTGTCCTAAAAAATCATCCAGCTTTTCCAGTCCAGTCTGGAACGAGTTCCTTTATTCTCCCAAGAGGAGTTTCCTGCCAAGTGAGCTCTCTCCTGCCTGAGGAGCAGCCCCTGCCTCGTCCATGTGCGTATTTGTGCCCCTCTGACTGCTCTTGCAGTCTCTCTGGTTCAGTGGCGGTACAAAACCACCTGCCAGGGACTGGCCCTGCTCATTTTATGACCTAGCAAGAGAAAGCTGCATGCTGGCCCAGCAAAAATGCCGGGAAGTCAACTGGCAGCGCAGTGAAGTCACCGAATGCCCGATTTAGAAACACGGTGTGAGCACAGCACGCTGCTGGGCCTGTAACGAAGGCTCAGCAAAGAGCACGGATCCCTGGCAAGCACGGAAAATGACCCCTTGGGTGGGAAAAATAAAGTTTCAGGAAAAAAAGAACTTGTAAATCTTGGTCGGAAGCCAACCTGGGAGAGTGTCACCAGTTCAGAGCCGCGAGTGGGCGTGCAGAGCTGTGCTGCTCTCCCGTGGCCCCCAGCCAGCACCTGCTCTGATTTCAGGATGTTGTTAGGCCAGCCGGGGTTTGATCTGCGCCATCTATCACGCATTTGCTGTGCGAGCTGCAGAGAGGAGCCCTGCTTCCCCTTGAAAGGATCTCATTTCATCTCAGTCCTTACAAACGGCCTAAAACGTGCTGTGCTGCACCGCCTCTTGTTCTTAAATTCCTAATTCCGCTGCTCGTTTGCCTCTTGTGCACCTACAATTTTCCAGAGTTCAGACTTTTCTGTTTCATTTTCGTCCACGTGACATTTCCCTGCACGTTTCCAGTTTCCCAGTCGTGCTAATCCCCCAACACCACCATCTTTGCGGGAGGCAAAGCTGCTTGCTGCCCGGCTCCTCTTGGGGAGGGTCAGAAAGAGGTTTGTTGGCAGGCGTGGGGACGTGCAGCCCCTCCTGCTGCACTTTGAACCCCAGGAGGGCGACAGGGCCCAGCCGCTTGGCTCCTGGCCCAGCCGTGACAGTCAAGCCAGGACGGGGCTGGGCTCTGCGGCCGTGCCGTGCGTGGGGCAGAGGGTGGCTGGGAGCTGTGGGGGCAGGATGAGGCTCCTGCTCGCTGCTCCACGGCTCCTCGCATCCCCTGCAGCAGCCGCCTTGTGCCATGGTCCCCGCCTGCCACCCACGGCTCCGTGCAGGGGAGCCCCTCGCCGCTGGGGCTCGAGCTTCAACGTGCCCCCCAGCGCCGAGTTCGTGGCCCGGCCCGTGGGGATCTGCTCCATGCTGAGGCTTCCCGTCCGCGCCTCCGCAGAGGGGCTGGATGCAGCTTTCGTCGGCGTCCCCCTGGACACGGGCACGTCCAACCGGCCGGGAGCCAGGTAAGGACGAGGTGCGGTGTCAGAGGAGCTGGAGCTTTGCTCCTCCTGCCCTCCCTCCTCTGCTCCTTCTGCTCCTGACTCTGTTTGCCCACCCAGGTTCGGTCCGCGCCAGATCCGTGCCGAGTCGGCGATGGTGAGGAGGCACAACGCCAGCACTGGGGCGGCACCTTTCGACTCCCTCCTGGTGGCTGACGTGGGAGACGTGAACGTGAACCTCTACAACCTGCCCGCCAGCTGCCGCCTCATCCGCGAGGCCTTCCAGAAGATCGTGGCCTCGGGCTGCGTGCCCCTCACCTTGGGTAAGGACCCTCGGGGACCTCAGTCCCCCCCTCCCACACCACAGGGGCATCCACGTGCGTTTGGTGCCCTGCTGAGCAGGACCCAGGGCGTCCCTCTGAAAAGTTTCCACCCCAAACGAGCCACCTGCAGCGTGCTGATTTGCACGAGGCGTGATTTACGCCTGTGCTGAAGCAGTCACAGCTCTGCATCACTGAAGGAAGCCGGTGTGTAGGGTAACAAGGGGCAAGTTATGGGTTACAGGTTCCTCGGGAGTGAATCATTTATTTACAACCCGTGCCAAGGGTCCCACACCATGAGATTCCTGTGCCAACGCAGTCACACATCTCCAGGCCTCCTGCTCCTCCTGTTTTCCCAAGGAGGAGAGGAAGGAACCTGCACCACGGAGCCTCGGGTTTCCCTGAGGAAACGCAGCCCTGCCTCTGAGGGGTATAAACGAGTGCAGTATAAATGCAAAGGGGGGAAAAAATCACCAGAGAACAAATACAACGAGGGCGAGCTCCTCTTGCCATGTGTTGCATCCCCTTCCTCATCCTCCCGCAGGTGGAGATCACACCATCACGTACCCGATCCTGCAGGCCGTGGCAGAAAAGTGAGTTTCTGACCTGGAAATGGGGAATATGGGCTCGTGCTGGATTTGGGGCCGCGAGGTGTGGGATGGGTGCTAACGGGCCTGCCCTGTCTCGCCTAGACACGGCCCCGTGGGGCTGGTGCACGTGGATGCTCACACCGACACCGGCGACAGGGCCCTGGGGGAGAAGATCTACCACGGGACCCCGTTCCGGCGCTGCGTGGACGAAGGGCTGCTGGACTGCAGCCGCGTGGTTCAGATCGGCATCCGCGGCTCCTCCTACGCCCCCGACCCTTACAAATACTGCCGGGAGCAGGTGAGCTCAGCCGCGGCTGCTTTCGCTCCCCAGCAGCTCCGAGAGCTGGGAAATCACCAGCTGGAAGCTGCTCGGGGTTAATAGGGGTGCAAAAATGAGGAGGGTTCCTGCCTCCTGGCTTCATTTCCATAAATCCTTGCTGGGGCTGCACCTTGCCGGGGGGGTGAGTGCTGATCTCGTGCATCCTGCAGGGATTCCGGGTGGTGCTGGCCGAGGATTGCTGGTTCAAGTCCCTGGTGCCGCTGATGGCAGAGGTGAGGCAGCAGATGGGGGCCAAGCCGGTCTACATCAGCTTCGATATCGACGGGCTGGACCCTGCCTACGCCCCGGGAACTGGGACACCAGAGATAGCTGGGCTCACGCCCTCACAGGTGAGAGGTGCTCAGCTGCCTTTCTCAAGGGGAAGGGGACGCTTGTGTCACCCCCAAATGTCCCCCTGCCTTCTCAAGGGGATGTTTCTCTCCCGTTAGAGGTCATAGGTAGGAAATAACCGAATTTCGTCCGTGTAGGCTGGGTCCTCGGCAGCTTCCCTCTTCTGTGCAAGGGGGAAGCAGAGCCCAAAGCAAGCTGCTAGGCCAGACACGTGTTCCTTCAGCCCAAGTCTGTTTTCTTCCCAGGCTTTGGAGATTATTCGTGGCTGCAAGGGGCTGAATATAGTGGGATGCGACCTTGTGGAAGTTGCACCGATGTACGATGTCTCCGGTGAGTCCAAAGAAGCCTCGTTTGGGTTTGTGCAAAGCGTCCTGGGGGCTGGGAAGGGGCTTGCGCCCCTCTTTTATTTTTGCTAGGTGCCACCTAGTGTTGAAAGCCAAGCAGCGGGCGCTGGGTGATGCCCTGAACAGCGTGCTAGGAGCTGTCAGGACTTCTTATTGTCATCCCACATCAGTGGGGCAAAAAGGCAAGCGTTGGGAGCTGCTTGCTGCATGAGGACACTGAAGGAAATGCAAAGCAGCGATGGGCTTTGGGGGCTGAATGTCCCCCGTCCCCTGGTCACAGCCCTGGGAAGTGCTTTGCCAGCAGAGGTTGGGCAGCTCGGCCGGGCTGAGGGTTGCCAGCGTGGCACTGGCAGTGTTGAGATGCAGCAGTCTCAAAGGGGGCAGATAAAGAAGTGAAAAAACAAAAACTGGGCAAGTGAAGAAAAATCAATGTTGAAAAATCAATTTGGTACATAAAGCCGGCGGGTAAAGTGCTTCTGCAGGGTGACAGAGGTGGTGCATCGCCTCTGTTCCAAGGCAAGGCGTTGGTGAACAAAACCAGAGGCTTCAGCAGCCGGCAGTGCCATGGGCAGGGTGGTGCAGGGACAGGCAGATCTGGGAGGGCTGCAGGGGTGGGCAAAGGAGCACGGTGACGTCCCGCCAGTGTTAGGAATGGGCCAAGAATGGGAAATGCCAGAGGTGGCTGAGTGCTGCGGGTGAAAGCAGTCAGCATTCCTAGCCTCGTTTTTATTTATTTAGTTATTTATTTTCTCTCTGTCTTTTTGTAGGTAACACGGCCCTCTTAGGGGCCAATCTGCTGTTTGAAATGCTGTGCGTCCTTCCCGGAGTGAAAACAATGTGAGGGCAGCTCCTGCCCGGCCCAGGGCTCCTTTGCAGGTCATAAAGGTAAAGCAGCACCACCAGAGACACTGTAAGAGCCCTCAGTCCTTCAACATCCTGCTCTCTCCTCCACTTGCAGCAAACGCGTGCTTGTCAGTACGGAATAAATGCCATTTCCTGCTAGAAGAGGTAATTTCAAGCTCCTAAACTGCAGATGGGTTTTGAACAGCGCATTTACTGGTGTCTGTAGGGTCTGAGTTTGCTTGGGAAGAAAAAAGATGAGGCTAATGGCATCGCCTCTGCAGTGGGAACGACCCACCTGGCAGCTCTGCTCATCCAGGACCATTACAAACCTGTCACTGGTAAAAGGATTTTCCCAGTAAGAGACAGAAGCGGGACAGCTAACGCAGAGCTTTAGAGGGTGGCTGAGTGAGTGGCACCTGCAGCTCATTCTGGCAGCTGGGGATGTTCTGAGCTGGCGAGGACACGAGGTCGGATTGCAGACAGAAACACAGAGCCACCTCATCACACATTAAAATAGTTTATTTTGGTTGCGAATCTGTAATCGCCTTAAATCAAAATGACATCAGTGCCTGGTCACAAATACAAAAAAAAAAAAAAAAAAAGAAAAAAGAAAATAAAACAAACGAGACAAGTTTGCCAAATAAGTTAATTTCCCTCCCTCCCCAGTATCAAAAGTGCAAAATATGAACTTTGTTTTCAGTCCCACTTCTCAGGCTGTGTTCGCGTCCTGGTTCTGGCAGGCTCTCAGAGAGCAGAGGAGTGGAGTCGCTGCTCCTGCCACGCTCAGCCAAGGGAAGAGTTGTGCACGACCTTCAGACTCGGGGCCTGCTTCCCTTTGCTGTAAGGACGTTTTGCTTCGGTTTCTGAGTGGGGTCTTTGCTTGGGCGTCACCAAATAGTGCGGTAGGACTGAATTCCCTCAATCTTTGGGTTACAAACTACCATGTGCATAACAATAGCCAGTGCATTTTGCTGAGGACACGTTAGGATGCAGGTTAGAAAATTATTGGGGAGGGGGAGGTCACGGCTTGCACTTGCTGGGAGAGGGTGGCCAGGTCTCAGGTGTGAGCAGCAGCTGAGAGGCCTCTGACCACGCTCCTCTACCAGAAAGCAAGCACCCAGTGCTCCGTGACAGTTGCCACAACTACCTAAATGGATGAGTTTAGACCAGTTTGGCACGTGCTGCAGCCCCTGAAAGATTTTCTGCTAAAGAGCAACACGTGGGTGCTGTACATCTGCAGCCGAGTTAATATGAGCTGGCCGAAAGCAGCGAGGGGCAGAGTTACAGCAGCGGTCGCAGCTACAGAGGAGCTGTAGTCCTGGCTGGCTTGGGGGGGGCTGCTGCAAGTGCTCAGTCAACAAAACTCAGGCAGACGGGGCTGCTCAGCTGTGCTAAAACAAAAATAAAAGGGTTCCAGCATGCGTGCATCACAGAAATTGTATCCTGAAGGCCATAAGGCCATAGCTTTTTATTACTTGGGGCAGAGGTGATTCCCTTGCTGTAGTACAACTAGGCACTTTTTTTTTTTTCCTAAATTAAGTGTCGAGTTCTTCAGGTTCCTGACTAGCTGAAGAGCTGGCAGATGGATTTGTTGATGCTCATTCCCTACCCAAATAGTGTGTTTGTGTGTGTATACCTGTTTATATTTGCTTTTACAAGCATTTAAAAGTTATGTGGAGCCTTCCCCTTGGTAGCTGTCCACTCGGCTACGACCTCATTCCAGCTACCTCCTTGCACAGCGAGCTGGGGAGAAGCACGAGCGCACTACAGCGATCGTTCCAGCCCAAATGACATCAGGCCTCCCAACGGCAGGCCGATGCAGCACTACGTGTGCGCCTCGTAGCTTCCTTCCTTCCTTCCCCCTCCCTATTTCTAACATCTCATTCATGCGACAGCACAAGCTGCAGCCCAGAGGCCGCCGAGCTAAAATTAAGCAGCCTCACGTCAGGTTGGGCGGTAGCACGGGCAGCGCTGGGGTTACCCGCTCGGGTGCGGTGGTAACTAAGAAGGCAAGGGTGGAGTGAGCTTTTAGCCAACGCCACGTGCTTGACAAAGTGTTTTAGGATCAGGGGCAGAGCCTCACACAAAGGGCACCCCGCTCCCAGCCTCGTGGTTCGGCAGCCCTGTGACCTGATGCTCTGCAAGCTACTCCCACAGCAGGGTTTGGGTTCCTGCACTGTGCAGCCGGAGGAGACACCGCAAGGGTCTGCCCCGGAGCGGTGCGAAGGGAACACAAAGCCTGCAGGATTTCAGTCCTGGCTGTAGGAAGAAACCCTTTGGCTTTGCTGCATCACCTGAAGAGCTGAAAGCAACTGGGAGCCTGCTGCTGCCGTCCCCTGCCTTACAACCGGGCGGCCTCCTTCCCCCTCGATGCTGGAAGTGGCTGTCGGAGCAGTGCTTGAGCAAAGCATAAACCAAACTGTGCTTTGCAGCTGTTCTAGCTGTACACAGACCTATGTGTTCAAGAAGGAAAAACAAAACAAAAAGCAACAAAAAAAAAAGAAAAAACAACAAAACCAAGGCAGCCTGCATGTTGAGAAACACAAGTTTGTGGCAGGACCGAAACGGGCGAGATGCTGAAGCATCTTAAACCCACACCTGAAACGAAACGAGCCTCGCACGTCAGCGACGGTCTGGTGAGATAACAGCACTGCTGGGGCAACGTTTCAAGAACGCGGTCACCGACGATTTAGGTTCCTCGATACAACGAAAGGTCGGTTTGTACTACGGATGTAAGGGTGTTGGAAAGGAGCCCGAAGCGGCTCCCTAGCAGCTAGGTAGAGTTTCTTTTACACATCTACTGGCTCACAGCAGCGTATGCCTACAATCTGAGGACACAGGTAAAGTTATGGCTCTAAGATACATAAGTCTAAAACCGACAGAAGCAGAAAGGCATCTGGGAAACGATGTGACATTTAAATGGCTCAACACCTTTACAGTATTTACGGCTGTGCAAAACCCCTTCCCCTCCCTGGTTACGGTTTTAGCTGGTGAAGCTGCACGTGGAACTATTACACAAGGAGCAGGAAACATGCAGAGCGCCTACGAGCCCGCCCCGCAGGTGAGTCCCAGCTACAGGTTTGCTACGAGGGAGCTGCTCCCGGCCACCCTCCAGGCCACTTACCCCGGGAAAGCCGATCGGTACGAGTGGTGGGAAGCCTTTTGGAGGAGGGTCTGTAGGGTCTTGCCACTGTTACACCATGCACCATGGGCTAAGCACGTGGGGAAGGGGCAGGGGGAGAGAACCACGACCCGCGCCACGGAACTGGCCGCATTCAGTCCGGACCGAGTCGCCGCGGCCGGGAAGTCAGGGATTTTCTTTGACCGAGGTGAAACGAGAGATGGGGCGAGGGTGGCTCGGGAAGTAGACGTGGCAGGATGAGAAGGGGGAAACGGCCTTCTTGGCTCTGCGACAGCACGGCATCCAAACGTGAGAACGATTCGGTGGAGGGCGTTTCGGCGCGCTTCGTTGCGCTCCAGGGCTCTGCATACGGGGAGAGATTTTTTTCTGGTCGCCGTCCCTCAGAGAACTCATCTGAAAGGTAAGGTCCGTTCATCACGATTGTGTGTTTGTTCCGGAAAGAGCGGTCCCTCGTCATCTTCATAAAAAGTGTGTTAGAATCTCTTTAAAAGCCCTCAGTCTAGCGCGGGCCACGAGGGGATGTAGAACCTCTGTAAGGAGCCCTCGAGAAGGCGTTCCATCCAAAAGGACAATTTATGCAATTTGTTTTTAATGGATCTAGACCCTGGGCTGCAGGAGGATTTCCCTCTGGCTTCGGTGTGCAGCGGGGAATCGTAGTCCTCACACGACCCCACGGTTCCCCCCTCGTCTCCTGATCTGTGAGGCTTAAAGAGGCAGAAGTATTTCTTGTGGCCGTTCAGGGCCAGGACGTAGCCCGTGTAGTCGCGCTCCAGGAAATGCTTGTCGTACTGGTTGGGGATGGGAGCGGCGTCCTGCGCGAACTCCAGCAGGTACTCCAGCCACTCGCGGTGCTTGTCCAGGCTGAGGAAGGAGAAATGAAGAGAGCTGCTCCTGGGAGGAGAGAAGAGGAGAGAAGCAGGATGAACACGGCTTCCAAGTCAGGCTGCAGGTCTATGGGACGGGGGAGCTGTGTTTCCATAGCTCCTTTTTTTAACCCGCTTCAGTACGGGTGACAATTACTAGTGTGCAGCACCCCATGAGGGTTGGAATGAGGGTATAGCAGAAGCAGGAGCAGTGCTAGACCCATCCGTCCACCTTCACTGAGTGAAGGATGAGGAAGGCTGTTCAGTTTTTGGCGGCTCATCACTACTAACGTGTGTGGAGGCTGCTTTGTCTGCTCTAAGCTTTCCCTCTTGGAGGAGCCCAAACCACTCCCAACTTTTCATCAGAGCAACATTAGGCAAGGAGTTAAAACAGGACCAGAAACCTAAGAAAGGGCCCCAACCTACCCTGTGAATGTGTAGACCTCCAGGGCAAACTTCTGGAGGAGGGCAGTTTTCGTGGAGTTCGAGAGGATCAAGACCACGTTCATGTGACCCGGCCTGAGGCGCACCAGGTTGCTGTTATAGTTGATGTCTGTGAGCTCGGTCACCTCCACAAAGCCTTTTTTGGGAACCCTGCTGCAACGAAACAATGACCGAGTGAAAGGGGAACGAAGGAACGGCAGCAAACAAGGTCAGGGAAACTGAACTTGTCCCCCTGCCTTATGACAATCATTCCCCAAGCCAGTTTTTTTGCACTTGCAAAAGCCAGAGCTGGATCTTCCTCAACAAGCACGTCAGACCTTTGCCTTTCCACAGAGGATCTTGTCTGGGGCAAACTCAAGAGGTTACGAGGGGCACAGAGAGGAAGAACGGCTTCTATGCATGATAGGGAGGAGCAGCTGGATGCAACGAGACCTGCTGTAAAGTCCCAGCTCATCCTGGATTCTCAACACAGCTGCTCGCTCTCCCATGGTAGTGGGAATTGCTTAATAACTAAATTTCTGAAGCCATGTCCCTGCTGCCCAGGGTCCTGCTAAATGCCACTCCCTTGTGCTTTTCTGTGCCCGCGCTGCCCCCTGCAATGACTGCTCTACATCCACACAGGTCTGGCTAACGCTCTCTGCGCTCCCTCTTTCCACGGTCACTCCCCAAACTAACTCAGCAGAAAACGTTCTGGAGAGAATAGAGAGGGAACCTGTTACTCTCTTTGCTGAAGTT